TTCCTCACAGGTTGTTTCAGTGAAAAAGGAAAAACAACAAAATTCAAAACTATTTAACTATCAAACTTGTAAATCGGATACAGAAAGCTAAAAATAAAGTTGAATGATACTCACTGCAATGAATCTTATCACTTGATTATTCACGTGTTTTTAGAAATAAAATTAAGTTATTAATACTTCCATATCAATTGGTCCACTTTAACCTATCACACTAGTATATGGTTAATGAGTTAATAGTACGATTAGACGTGATCAACTAAACTGACTTGAGAGGCACGTCTTATTGATAAAAGAATAGAACTTGTACATTGCAGTGGTGGAGTATAATTCCATTGTGGGTAAAATGCATTTTGATAAAGTCTCACAGTGTTATGCAGTAATATTTCCTGATGACGTTTCAAGCACAATTTTTTGCTGATAATCACATATCAAGGTACTCACACAAATTTCTAACTTCATTTATATGGTTCCACTATTTCTCATCTCTTGATCTGATTGGTAATAATATCTTCCATACTTCTGGCATTTGCACTGAGTCATTTCTGTTGCATGTGTTGGGTGTAGATTCTATGAACAAAGATTCAGTGATGACCATCTCACTTCACCTACCTATGCTCCTATTTAGAACTTTAACCCTCTGTCTGTCTGTCTGTCTATCTGTTTTCGACATAGAACTTTGCACATATGTGCGGCAGTTCAAGTCGCCACACTCCTTCCATGTAGCACACAAAGCAAAAGAAGAAAGTAGGAGAAATGCATAATAGAGACAGGAAACAGAGGTGTGAGACAAAGGAATAGTAATAACGAAGAACAAAACAGTTTCATTGGAAATCATTAGTCACAAGGAGTGGATGCATCTGCACCAGCCATTGAGAACGATTTTGAGCCATACCACCAATTGTTTCCAGCCATTGATTTTTGCTGTCCCGAGGACCCCAAACAGGAAGTCTACACCTTCCTACGTGGCTGGCTTTAACTAACTGTTGTGGATTTCATTGACTGGTACCATGTTTTTGTTTGACTGACGTTAGCTCTCTTCCAGCCTGACCCTATGTCAACTAACATTACCCGTAGGTCGATGAAGGCGATGACTAGGCATACGTAACACATGTCCCAACCATCTCAGTCGATGTAGCTTCAAAGTCTCGTCTATTGATTTCCCCTCCTTACCTAGCACTCGACAGAAGCTTAACCTCAGTATTGCTTACCCTACTATACCACTTCAAACGGGAGATGTAACGCAGGCACTTATGATCAAAGACAGTTAATCTTTTCATGTCTTCCACTCTCAATGGCAAGGTCTCATAGCCATAGAGGAGGACGGAACGGACTACTGAGCAGTACACACGCCCTTCGGTCGATAGTCGGGTATCACCACTACGCCAGAAATGGAATAAACTAGCATATGCGAAACTAGCCCTCTGTATTCGTGCTAAGGTTGGTTGTGTGCTAATGCATGCAGTGCAGTTGCTGAGTATTTTCTAAATTACTGATCTTCACGGGTCAAGCATTCTGAACTTACCTAAATTCGTATGTTCTGAAAATCGAACTACCCTTGATCTACTAGTTTGACCTATTTATTTGACCTAACTCACAGTCATTGCAAAGTGTTTTGTTAATTATATTATTTTGTCTAACTTAGAATTACATGATATCAAGTGTTGGTTTGCAGGGATAAGGAAATCACTTCACTGAGTTGAACTCACTATTAAGGCTTCAAATCTACTAAATTAAATTATTCTATCTATTTTATAATTTTACTTCACTATTCACTCGCACTCTCTTGAATTTTCCACCATAGTTATGTATAAATTAACTCTGTTGTTCTATCTTACATTTTGTCTCTAGTCCATCCTTGTATTCAAGAGAAATCAGAACTCCACCACTCTGTCTAATTACTATTTAAATAGTTACTCTTTTAAAACTACATAATTATCTACATATATTATCTTTGAAATTATGTTGCTCATACTTTTTATGGATAACTTGAAATCATTGTAAAAAGTATGCTCAAGAATTTCGTAACATATTACTGGTTTAGGTAGGATGTACGCAGTTGAAGAGAATCCACGGAATAAAGTGAGCTCGTATTGTGGTAGTGTGATACAGACAATGTATGCCAACGGAATATGATTCGCACATATTCCAACAGTTCTATACTGCATTAGCAACAGAATACGATATTTCTATTTAAACATTCTATTTCATGTCGTTTAATGTAAACCAAAATCATACGCTCAGTGATTGGTTAAAGAATATAAAACTGTATATATATAAACAGCGGTTTGATCACTTAAAAATATACCTCGGCTTCAGTGACTTACCTTCTGCTGTTAAAGTATTATCCTGCAAATATGTTCTTTCTTTCTTTATTCAAACTAGCAAAGAAAACCGACTGCATGAAATCACTTCAATTAAAGGACCAAGAAGTACTGAACAGCTGTTTCACCCTAGTTCGGGACGCACCCACCGGGGTTTAAGCCAATGGCGTTTCAGTTACAAGGCAAGCTCGTAGACCATTCAGCCCCTGTGACTGAACCCGATGCCTCATGAATTCCAACTTCTGCCAATTTGCGATAAATACATAGCACAACCGCCAATCAATGTGATAAGTGGGTAAATGTTATCCTACATGACTTGATAAAATGAACCTTGTCTAGTGTGACGCAAAATCAATCTGTGGAATCTGGAGACATTTAATTCGATTTATTATCCTTTTCCTTCCTTCTTTATTTTAATTTCCACTTTATATCCTCAGGCTATTAATAATAACTTCTTTTTCTGATCGTCATTCATTTTGTCAGCATATCCTAAAGTGGGATTAAACAACCTCAGTTATCATTGCATGTATGCCAAGCTCTTCATTGTTCATGACACAAAATGCTGTGTGATTTTCAAAAAAACAGTAGAGGCACCAGTAGTTCGATTTGTAAAACGACCGGATAGTTAACAAACTTAGCAAGATATAAATTATGATGTAAATATCTTAGGAAAAGAGTATTCATTTTTCGTATACTACTGAGAATAATCAATTAAATTTCCCTAACAAAAGAACCGAATTTAACTGGATGTAGCGAATATTTTCCTTGTGCATAACATTTATAATAATGTATCATATATTAGTAAAGATTTCAAGAGTTGTTTTTGCAGCATAAATTCAACAGTGACACTTGCTAAGACAGACAACAGTTTGAGTAACAAAACAACCAGCTAATTTGTCTCTAAATTTTCTCAATCCCTATGTTAAAAAAAATACTAATTAGATTCTTAATGTGTGTAGAAAGACAAAACAGTATTTTTTTGAATGCTTCTCACTTCAAGGTATACATTCTTCAAAAGTAATAATCTGATTAGTGAATAATTAATATAATAGGGTGCATCGGTGATTCAGTGGTGGAATGCCCACCAATCACGCACGTGGTCAGGAGTTCGATCCCCAGCCGACAAAATCCTAAACTTCAGGCGGTAATAAGACTGGTAAAAAGGGAACGTTGGGTGGGAGTCTAGCAAGTTCAGACATTAAAGAAAAAATAACACCAATGCTGCTGAAACCTCGGAGCTCAAAAGATGAAGTCCTATGTTCCACTCACTCAGAACGCAAAGGAATAAAATAAATTTTAGAAAAAATTTAATATAATGGCAGATATTATCAGACCATACATACCAAATCAAATCCTGTGTGCAAATTTGTGTGCAGATAATGGCATACGTTATGTGATTTAGGTCTAATAAACACAGGAGCTTGTGGTAACCTTATTGGCTGAGGAAAAAATGTAATTTCTATACGGTTATATTTACTTATATTTACAGCAAAAAGCACAGTACTGATAAAGGTTTGTAAGTAGTATATTAGTGAAATCTGAAGGAAACTTGAATAGTGGAGCAATGGATTAGGTCAAGAATAGGGGAAATGAAGACTATTGTGAATCAAGATAGAAAGCATGAAATAAAGATCAAAAGAAGCAGATTACGAAAATATATTTTTTTGCAAACTGAAGTAGAAATGTAGGGTTTTTATATTTCGTAATAATTCTCTGTTATTTTTTGCCAAACAAACCAATTCTACTACAAAATTAAACAGTGTTCTACTGATGCATGTCTACATAACAATAACAATGTGTCAAATGCCTTTCAGTGCCCAGTAATTTAACCTTAACGCCTGAAGTATACTGTGCCTTCATGAAGTTAGTATTTTTAAAGTAGGGTAGTTGTTAAGCAGATGCTTGCTTTCAATGATTATGAAATCCAGTCTTGTTGAACAGGCTTTAATGAATTAGAATATTGAACATAAACCAGTAAATAGTAAATCAGCGAAGAAAATTCAAAAAGTCAAAAGTAATCACCAGCTCTTATTGGTCTTCATTTTAGAACCTAAAAAATTACAACCTTAATTTCCAAGAGTCTGTTTGTAGTGATTTGATTTCCTTCAGTTTTGACCAGGAATTGATGTCAGTGAGAGAACCAATGGAAAACCAAAGATTACTGAACGTCAGTTTCGTCTAAGTCTGAGGCTCCTCAGCAAAATACAACCACGAAACCACCACGAATTGAACTCAGGCTTTAGGGGTGGAAGGCAAGCTCGTAGACCAGCCAGTCAGCCACTGGGACACAACTCAGTGGTCGTCCATGAATTCCAACTTCTGCCAATTCATGATTTCAGTGCAACCACTAGCTAATGTTATTGGCCATTACTCATTCTCACACACGAACTGGTTGACCCTACTGGTCACCACTTCTCACTGGAACTCACTAGTAAGCATCAGATTAATTTTCAATAGTTAGCTTATAGGGTAAGTGGGTGCTGATGAAGAGTCCCAAATTACGACGGAACACCTGTCCAGTACTCCCTGGTTTTCAATGATCCTCTAATTGACATCAGTCTTTGATCAAACTTGAAACAAATGACTACACTAATCTATTTAGTACTTCCATACCAAAACTACACTGAAATCGAATGTAATTTAAGTGAATAATAAATAGGATCCACTAAAACTGCTTACCTCCCCCATTGTTTATACTCCTCATTCTTAAAGCAGCCATTTCAAATGAAGCTGGTATAGCTCGACTGTCATATTTATTATTTGTTTTACCTTGTTTTGGTGTATGGATTGGTTGTGCAATTTGTTGATAAGCATCATTTACATGATTTTCATGTATTGTTGGCTTCTTCATTTCTGAATTATTCATTTCTTGATATAAATCTATTGATGAGAAACAGAGAATAAAAAATACACACCGAAGGAATGAAAAAAGCGGTTCTGCATGAGTAGTACTCAAAGTGAACTGAGGCAAAAATAAGGCTGAGAAATAATTTAATAATATACATTATCACTAGACAAAGATTCGTACAGAACTTCATAACATTCTTCTCATTAGTAAGGTTGATCAAAGCAAGAAAGGTAAATGTGTACCAGGATAACATGAGCTCATATTATTACTATCTCAAGCATTCTTCCAAACTGGCAACAACATGAAGAATACTTTCTTTATTCCTTTACGTTCCCAGGGGAACACAGGGCTTCAAGGTAGAGCTTTGAAGTTTCGGTAGCAGTGGTGTTTATTTTTATGGGATGGCCCAACTTACTCACCTTACGAGGCTTATTACTGGCTGAACGAGGTAAAGGAGTGCGTCGGTGGCCGGGGATCAAACCCCAAAACACACGCATGGTTAGTCATCATTCCACCGCTGTGTCACCAACGCAAACTGAACAATGTAAAAATATAAATGACATAAAAGACTTGTCGGTGACAAGTAGCAAGTGATGGGAACTATAAATAGCACAGATCTGAAATGATGTGTCTTGTTAGATCATGGAAATTAAAAATGATACGGTACGTACAAAATAATTAAACAAAAATCTTTAGAAAAAGACTGAGTTCAACAAATTCTGGGTAGAAAAAATGTCTAACTAGAAAGAGTACGTCAACACAATAAGTTACGTAATAACAGGAAACATGTTTTTTTTTCTAAAATAGCAGTAAAGGAGTATGGCGACCAATGCTCAGATGAAAAAATAAAATTTTTTAATCATAACAAGAGATATAGGAGAATCCAAGACTCATTACTTTATTTTGTGATTTATGTCTTTATATTGTTCAGGTTTTAGCCAACTGAGAAGAGAATAAGATAATATTATCCTGGTACACATTTATCGTTCTCTCTTTGTTTAAATTCATATATAACATTATTAAATTGGCGTCAGTAGTACAGCAGCAGAACGCTCGCCAACCATGCAGACTCATTCCTAAACCTCGCTAAGCCAGTAATAAGACTGGTAAAGAGGGAAGGTTATGCATGAGGCTAGCAAACCCACCCCGTAAAAATAAACACCCCTGTTACTGAAACTTCAGGGCTCTACCTTGAAGTCCTATGTTCCATTAGGAACGAAAGGAATAAAGCCCGGTGGGTGCGTACTGATGAAGAGCCCCAAAATAGGATGAAACAGCTGTTCAGTACTCCTAGGTTTTCCAATGGTTCTCTAACCGATATTAGCTCATGATGAAATTCTGTAACTAATCAATCAAATCCCAACAAATCAATACTTGAATAATAATAACTGTTGAACTGATGACCCTACTTTAGTTAAGCTACATAACAAATAATTCTTAAAGTACTTTGTGTATCCGATGGTTGTCCATAAAGTTTGTGCCTTAAACACTTATTGTGAGTGACTGGTTTCAACATAAAACTCTGTACAGATGTGCAGCAGTTCAAGTTACCAACCTCCATGTGCCACACAAAGCAAGAGAAGAATTAAAGAGAGATTCAAAAGAGAGATAATAAACAGAAGTGTGAGGCAAAAAGAATAGTAATATGGAAGAACAATAGAATTCTATTGGATATTATAGATCATAAAGAGTGAATTTATCTTGAATTCAACATTCATTACGTCGATGATGCATACGGATTCTTTCAGAAGATAATGGCTAGTAAGTTGTATTTACTACTGCTCATAAAGAGCTATTGTCAATGGAATAAGTAGTGTGACAAGGCAGCTTCTTGTTGAATTGTACTGCTAACAAAAATCTGATAATACGGTGAAACTTATGACTAAGAGAAGTCAACATTCACTAAGGAATCCCAGTATTATTATTATTTAAGGTAAAATAAGATGGAAACAGGTAACCTTTAGATAACATTTATATCCAAAAGCGTGTAAAGTGACCATGAAGCTGCTGTGTAGTTTGCAAATAACAAATTTAATTTTATATATTACCAGTTGGTTCAAGTAGCCAGCTAGAATTCAGGTGGATAGAGGTGATTCCGCTCACTTAAATGAGTCTAACCGCTTGCATCACACTGATGAAACAGGCTTCGAATAAGCAAAAAAAAGAGGTGGTCATTTGCTTAAATGACTCTAATATGGTTATAACAAGAATTACTACTTGGAGTGAGTGCTTTCCAACATATCATATTAATCAGATGTTAGACATTTTTCTAACTAAAATTTAGTCAGAAAGCAGAGTCAACTACTTTAAGCAGATTAAAAATATTTAAACCATGAAATAGCTTGTAAAAAACTTGAGCGCATATTGTAAACCTAATGATACGGTATAGTATCACTTTACTGCCTCTAGACTTCAGAATTACAGACAAACGACAAAAAATATCAGCTTCTTTACGAATACTTATGTTCTTACACACTATTTCCGAGGTTTTCAAAACCAAAAGTTAAAAATTAAAATAGTTGTGATCAGTGTTGGCATTTTATAATTTTTGTTAATTTAAGTGAAACATAGCTGTGAATTCAGCTCATGACAAAAACACTCGCGATAGGTGTAGAGGTGTGTGCCGCTGGTAGAGGACAATGTCATTTGTTGTCCATAAAAAATAAAATGCAACCTATCTCTTGAATTCAGTCAAGCTACCGAAAGCCAGGAAAGTAGCAAGGACGGACGGAAATCCTCTGGAAACACTGAAAACTGATCCAGAGACTGAAGCAGATGTGCTCACGCTACTATGGAGAAAAGTTTGAGAGGAGGGAAGGCTTAGATATGATGGAGAAGATTTGTAGCTCAGGTGGATGATTTTGATGTGGTTGTGTTCTCTGAGCTGGATACTTAATTTGCGAAGCTTTCATCATCCTACTAGGTGACATCTTCAGCTCAGAGAACAAAACCACATCAAAAGGAGGGAAGGCTATTTACTAATCAGAAAAAAGGCTCTCTTGTCAAACTAACAAAGAAAGGCAACTTAAGCCTCTTGACCACATCAAGAAAAGTACTAAGTCGCGTTATCCTGGATAGAAAAAAAGATACACTGGTAGCAGAGCTCCGGCCAGAACAAGCTGGATTCAGGCAAATAAAATCAAAATGGAACTCTTCGCATCATCATCTAACAGAGCATAGAATAGAAGTCAAATATCTACCTCAACTTCATTGACTTTGAAAAGGTCTTCGACAGCGTTGACCATGTAGTAATTTGGAAACTACTTCAACATTACGGAGTGCCCCTAGTTTTTATCAACATTATTCAGCAACTATATGACAATGCAAATATTAATTGGTCCACAATGAAAAACTCCGCGAAGCGATTGAAGTGAATACAGGAGTGAGACAAGGCTCCCTACTATCACCGAATATATTCCTTACTAAGGGGGAGTGGATTTGGAGTCAGACTGTGGGGAGTGAGAAGACAGGAATACATTGGACTAATAAGAAGACTAGAAGATCTGGACTTCGTGGACGACTTATTTCTAATGTCATGTAAATTTGAAGAATTACAGGCGAAAACCAGCAAGTTAGAAGGAGAGGCAGTGAAGACAAAACTTCAGGGAAAGCACAGAGAAGACAGAGGTAGGACGGATAATCAACGAACAAAAGCAACCAGCACTATTCACTATCAACGGGATAAATTTGAAGGAGGTCACTTTTTCCATTGATCTAGCCACCATCGTCACAAATACAGGCGGTATAGATGAGGATGTCAAAGTCACCCGGGATCAAACAAGGTAATCAAGACAAACATTCATTAATCTGAAATAAGTCTAGAAATCCGCTACACTCAACAAAGTGAACGAGATTCAGTTTTCCAACAATAATGTAAAATCAGTGCTTCTATGTGGTTCAGAGAATTGAGAAGTGTGTCACGAAAATTATCTCCAACGGGCTGCAGACTTGATCAACGGCTGTCTTCGACCCATGCCGAAGACCAGACGGTGCGCCAAAAAGAATTAGCAGTAAAGAACTCTGGCGGTGAGCCAACAATTAATCTGCTGTCCAACAAACACTCCAAAGAAAATGCAGATGAACCAAACACACGCCAAAAAGAGACATCACATACAAGATCAAGTCACTTCTTCTATATGGTCCAGATACTTGGCGTGCGCGTTTACTAGAAGCGTTTCGAACAGGCTTTTAGACTTTTATCTACAGTTGCTTCCTTCACTCCATACATAAGATCAGATGGTTGTTCAGAAAGGATAAGCATCAGGGAATTTTGGAAAAAACGCCAACCAACAAATATGTCAAAGAAAATGCAGATGGGTGGGACACAGTCTGAGGAGACCGTTCGCTTGAAATCGTATGCCAGAAAAGCCGCCGAGTTGTACCCAAATAGAAAGTAGCGAGTTGGGCGTGACTCTGAAGGTGACATGGAGTAGATGAATGTGCTTATGCGCAATCATGAGTCCAGTTAAACACGACTGCAGAGAACAAGACAAAATTGAGGCGTGTCCTTGAATCCCTAGGTTCCACTCAGAACATAAACAGTTCTAAACCTTGCAGAAACTGCATTGGGATACAGAATAGGAAAGAGAGTATATATATATATATATGTGTATATATGCGAAATTTCTGTGTAGAAAACTGAAATAGAAGTCAGCACTTGTTTTCATCTTTAGCTGATGTAAGAATTCACACCAGTCATCAGTTTGATTGCCATATTCAGTTGTAGGCAATTTAGCATTTTATTGAAATAAGTCAAAAGTAGTCAATCATTCTCCAACAGCATTTTTGTCTTCATGAACTCAACTAGTTTATCTGAAGTGACTGAGTGAGAAGCTGTTTTTATTTTTATTTATTTATTTTTTTCTCAAAACCTCTCCTTAACATTTGTACAAGCATACTTCTATTACACCCTTAAAATGCAAAATCCTATTTGGAATTACTTTAAAATGTATTCAAGTGAAATCAGGACATATTTCCTCCTAAAAACTTCAATTATCTTGCCTACTTCACTTTTACACTCTAAACTTAGCCA